ACAGCAAACTTGGTGTCTCTCCATCACCATGTCTCATATACTAGGGTAGCATAAACTAACCAGACATTAGAAGACTGGGTAGGTAATTATCCCTGAGTCTTAAATCCAGAGAAGGATGTTAATAATCCTTTATTAGCTCTCTTTAAAATTTACAGATGGCACCAACTCATGCTTACAAAGCCAACACTTTTGGCTTAACTCAAAAAGGTAATTAGTAAAGGGAGTTAAGTTAGCCTAACTTCTTCACAGGTTACTTAATGTACAGGATGGCTCATTCAAAAGTAGGCGTAAACAAGCCTAATGACTAGAAGTGCTTAACACCGCAGAAGTCTAATCACTAATAAATCAAAGATAGCAACATGGCCTTCAGGCAGGCAGAACATGCTCTAAACATCAACTTCAAAAACCTTCCCTTTAAATACTAACTTCTTTCTACCTTATTCAAAAACACACATCCTAAATCACTTACATTCTGAAACGAAAGCATGAGCTGAAAGCAATAGTGATGGAAAAGGTTGCTTCAAAACAAAATTAACTGTTTAGTAAATTAAATAAATCGCCACATTTTCCCCTGCGAGAATTTATGTATACATAGAAGAAGTCCGTAACATCTTCGTTAAAGAACTTGAATTTTAACTGTCTAAAATTTTCATACCAATTTCTTACAATTTTGCTTTACCTCCTATGCTTTAGTAGCTTATTGGAACCTTAAAGTATATTAACTGGGTTAAAACTGCTGGAACTTTACATGATGCTGAGACACTAACTGCATCAGACAGAGCCCAACTTTCAAAGCTTGCCAATTATGCCTACATCAAGCCTTTCAGGTTTTTTCTGATCAGCAGACATCTCTCTAGGCAAACAACAGCAGTGATGACAGCCAGTCTTTTCTTGTAAATCATGCTGATTATGATTTTACTGTTCATTTTAATCTATGCTGCATGACATAAAATCTCCCTGCTATTTACTAAAACATCTAGACTAAGCAAGTGACAAAATAAGACATAAAAAAAGATAAACATAAAAGCTAACTAACTATTAGTAAAACGTAAATAAAATGTCTTTTATCTTCTTTGAAATATATCCAACTATTATAAGTGTAAAATATTTAATGCTTCTTGATGATAAATTTCATGAAATTTATTTTATTCTTAAACTTAATCATAGTTATATTATGTTTAATAATGATGCATCTTACTTATGGATCTGTTTTATTTTTAGGATGGTATTACAAAAGTTCATGTATAGATATTTTTAATTGAATTTATTCAGTTCCCTTTTGTTCATAGGTCCTTCATTTTTTTTATTAATTGTCCTTAAAAGTCCTTTATTTCTGTATGCAGAAATGTGTACAAACCCTGTGGGTAAAAGAAAATAAATTAGGGACACATATTTTTTATCAATATAAAATGTGTTTATGATAGTAAGCATAACAGAGTATTTTGAGTCTTAATTTTAATGTGGCTGTTTATACATTTTTTACTGCTTTATTTATTTTGTTATGTTGAAAAAACTTTTCTGCTTCCTGATTAAGTTGTTATATATGTTTCAATGATAAATCCAAAAAGTTATTGTATTTATTAATTATTGTTTATTTATTTTGCGTGTGGCGGAAAAGGAAAAATACCATTGTGTAGTTTTTCAAAACCTGTTTTTAATATTATATAATCAAGACTAATTATACCTATGTCTTAGTATTAAAAAAAAATGGAGTACAAGTTTTTTAATCAAAGAACAGGATGAGTCATTTTTATAGGAATAATTGAAATCATCTTTTTATTTTTGAACTGTAATGTAAAGTAGTAGCTGCAAGGATAAAATTATGAGATGATAACTTTAAAGAAAATTGTTAGTCATACTGATAAATAAAATAATAACTAATAGATAGATTTTTTTCCTTCATCTTTAAGAACATAGCTTTTAGAAATGCCTTATCATAAATTAAAACTTTTTTTACATTCATTTTTACTTTTAGTAATTTCACAATGGTAATTTATACCCTATGGAACCAAATATTAAATTGAGATTGTAATTTATAAACTTATGTTAAAGTTCCTAAAGAAGAACATTTCTTTTAAAAAATGTAAATGTTTTTTATTCTTATTTTATGACAACTGTATAACTTTCAATCTTTCTCAGATAACAATCTTTTTTAGGGTTTTAAACTATTTGCAAAATTTTAAGAATTGCTTTATGCATGGTTATTTTTCAATCATTAAATTCTTTTCAAATTGCTTATGTACTTCAGCTGTTTTAAAATTTGATAAAGGAGGCTACTTTCTGAGCATACTTTTAAAACATGTTGTTTACATGCCTCAAAAAACTAATATGTGATTTGTTTAAATTTAACATAATAGTGAAAAGCATAATATGGCCTCAAATTATGGAATTACATAATTTTTCTTTTGAAAATTATTTAAGTTAGCAGCTACTAATAAATAAATAAACGGATAAAATTATGATAAATGTATGTATTGAAAGTCAATTTTTAAAATGAAAAAAAGAAATGAATTTAAAAAAATTACATAACAGCAGAAACATGCAAGTGCAATTATGATTAAAGTTGTAAAAACACGGTAGTGTGTATTTAAACTAAAATTCTGATTCTGTTATGGATGCTGTAATTTCAGATTATTATCAGCAATTCTAACAATACACTAAAGGTCAAAGCAAGCTATTACTCATACAGATATAAGAAAACAATTAGAGGTATTAAAGTCATGATTTGTTATGCTTCAAACACTAATTCATTTATTACTGCTTGAGTACTTGTTACACATACAGAATTCCTACTTCAGTAATGTCAAAAATTCTGTTATGGAACACTAAACACATCTCTGGAAATAGTTTGCTTCTTTTCTAAAATTTTTGCAATATTGCAGTGCTTCAGATTTTTAATGTTAATTATTTTCATTTATAATTGATATCGGAATCAGTTCCCAGAAATTCAGATCAATGCTCTATAAACTATTTAAGTAAAAGATATTTTGTACTTTGAAGCATATTCCCCCCCCCAATGGCAGATTGTGAACAATTACAAATGTAACCCAGTCCATTAATCTATACAAGGCCGGATGTGGTGGTCTCTTTATTATGGAGGCACCTGATAGGTGGGCCACCATCACCTTTCCTATGAAGGGAAAGACAGTTACAACCATGCCTTCTCCGGGATTCGAACCCAGGACCTTCGGCTTCACAGTCAGCTTCTGACCACTATACCGACTGGGTGGCTTGAAGCATATATGCTGAGAATTTTGTCTTATTTTTATTGTTTTATTTAAACAACTGTTTCAGTAAAGGATCTTTCTGATAAAAATTTATTTGAAAGAATTAGAAATCACTTCAAATTTTACTGAAAGCTGGTAGAAATTATAGAGAGATGAAATCCAGTGCTTACTGCAAAAGCTAAAATTCTCAACTAATTTATGAATTTTGGTCACTCTTGTGATGTGGGAATAAAGGTGGTAAACATTACTGGTTGTGAGTTTCCAATGAAACCAGGATGGTCACTAACAATGAAGTGTAAGCTGGAAAAAAGTAGTTATATTGTAAAGAAATCTAACCTAAGAAATTGTTTTATATCAACTGAGTTTCTTGAAAACTATCTCTTTTAATGCAGTAATTTGAAGATAAAGTGCCATTTGGTGGAGTGCCACAATGAAATATACACTTTCACGCAAGCTTATAGCCAGTCTCTGCAATGACAATGAGTAATAAAATAAAAATATGAGAGATGAAAAGAAAATCTCTCTTTAAAACGCTTCGTAACGTTTTAGAATTAAGATTAATGATTTCTTTCGTACATTTGCTTACATAGGATTTCATACATTTCCTTACATTACAAATTGATTTAAAATAGTTAAGAATGGGAATGCTTTTTATTGAGTGTACCCAAGTCCTTGAAGATGCTATTTACATTACTGTTCATGAACTGAAAGATTTTAAAATATTGTACAGTAAAAGTCAAGAAATCCGCAAAGCTTGGGACCAGATTAGTGCGGATCCAGTGCGGATTTTAGGATTTTGTGTATTTCAGGACAGAAAAGATAAATCATAATATTCAGACTAAAATTGCAAAATAAATAAGGCAGATAAATACCTTTTATTAAATTAAATTAAAGTATTATTACTTATTGCAATACTATGTATGTTAATTATATTACACATATAAATTGCTTTATTATTCATGGTATATTATACAGCATCAGGTTGCCATTTTGCCTTATGCAAAGATTTCCGATTTCGGATTCTGGTGTTAGAATCACTGTTGCTGTAAAATTTTAACAGCTTTTCTTTATTGTTCCGTATATCATACACAATTGTATTGCAATTCCATACGATTCTGCTATAAAATGCACCTATCTCCAGCTTTTGCAGAATTTGCACTTTTTGTATTACTGTCAATGCAACGTCATTACGTTTTTCAACGTTGCAAGCAGTAAAATCATGAGTGCGTTTCTTAGGTGTAATTGTATTAAAAAGGGCTGAAATTTAAAATATTCTTAATTTATCTACAAAATATCCAGATAAAAGGCAGCACTAAATAATCTCATGAAATAACAAAGCTTAGAAAATACAACAACGGGAATTGTGAACCTGAAAGAAGAGTTGAGTGAATCATCTGCTTTTTTACCTCGATGCAGAGATTAGAGGAGAAAAAAAATTTATCATGATGTCAATAATTGGATATTTCTGTTATGACTCATTATTAGGTAAGTATTTTTCCTTTGATATTTCGTACTCAATGTTGCGGTTTCCGGAACCTATAAACTGAATGTGTATATTTTGAGAGGCAACGCAAATTTCAGGAGTTGGTGGATTTCAGGTCAGCGGATTTTTGGTATTTGACTGTATTATAACTATGAAAATAATTTAGTATGTTCTTTGTAGTATCTCCCCCATTTTTTAATATTTAAACATGGCATTAGTTTCAATTTTGTGGTAACTATTCGTTCAAATGGTTTATAGTGATATTCATTTGGTTTTTCATGTACTTTTAGAGCTTCAACTCACAAGTTTTCAACGTCCATACCATACCCGTCAGCAGTGGATGACTCTGCTTTTAAAATATACTTCGGCTACCACTAAGCATTTGGATAAAGGTATTTTTCTTGTGTGTTTATAAACTGGTCTCATGATAACTGGGCACATTTGTGTCAAATCACTCTTGTTCTATGAAACAAATTTCTATTTGCTGTTTGAGAAAATACAGTGCACTGGAATCAAATTTTATCCAAAAACTAAATTTAAATAAGAGCAGAGCCAATCATGATTTTGAAAGCTATTGAACATACACTGAAGAGCCAAAAAACCTGGTACACTTGCCCAATAGTATATAGTAACTATACGACCCCCTCAAGCACACAGAAGTGCCACAATAAAGTGTGACATGGACTCAGCTAATGTCTGAAGGTGTGCTGGAGGTAATTCTCACCATGAATCCTGTAGGGCTATCTACAAATGCATAGGAGTGCGAGGTGGTGATCTCTTCTGAACAGCTTTTTGCAAGGCACCCCAGATATGTTGAATCATGTTTGGGTATCTAGGAGGCCACTGGACATGTCTGAAGTCAGAAAAGTGTTCATGGATCCACCGAGTAGCAACTCTGAGTGGGGGGCAGCATTGTCTGCTGGAAAGGTCCAAATTCGTTGGAATGCATAGTGAACATCAATGGGTGCTGGGGATCGGACAGGATGCTTACATATCTGGTACATGGCAGAATTGTATCTAGACATAGGTGTCCCATATTATGCCAGCTGCACATGTCCCATACTATGACAAAGCCTCCACCAGTTGCCACAGTTCCCTGTTGACATGTAGAACCCATGGATTCATGAATTTGTCTCCATATACATACATGTCCATCTGGCTGGTACAGTTAGAAACAAGACTCGTCAGACCAGGCAACATGCTTCCAGTCACCAACATTTCAAGGGCAGTGTTGTGATCAGGCGAGATGGAAAGCTTTGTGTCATGCAGTCAGCAAGGGTATACAAGTAAGCCTCTGGCTCCGAAAGCCTATATCAATGATGTTCCTTTGAATAGTTTGCATGCTGGCACTTGTTGATGCCCCAACAATGAATTCTGCAGCAGTTTAAGGATAAAATCTGCACATCTCTCATATTTAAATTATCCTCGTCAGCCCCATGCTTTCATGGGCTTTTTCCACCCACAGCAATATTAAAGATTTTATTTTTTAACGGATTCATGATATTTACAATACACTCGTCAAATGATCATATGTGAAAATCCAAATTTTATCTCTACCTCAGAGATACTGTGTCCCACCTCTCATGCACCGACTATAACACCACGTTCAAACTCTCTTAAATCTTGATAACCTGCCATTGTAGCAACAGTAACCAATCTAATAACTTTGTCAGACACTTGTTGTCTCGTATAGGTGCTGCGAACTGTGCTTTGCTGTGATTGATTTTGTACCTCTGTTATGTACATACGTATGCCTATACCAGTTTTTTTTTACTCTTCAGTGTATTTCAGATAGTGTTTCTTATTCTGTGCCTTTTGGATAGTAGTTACTTTGTATGTATTTTATCATTAGCTCTTGTTATTTTTCTAACCTATGGTAACTTAATATGATGGACTGGAACAAGGAAAAATTCAGTGTGTTTAATGGTTGTTTTGAAATAAAAAGTATTAATATGGCACCTGCAATTGCTTTGTAATGTATTGAAAATCAGAAAATGTATTATGAATGACTGGAGGAGAGACAGAAAATATTAGACACAAATGAAAATCACTGCTTTTTATGATTGAATAAAATAAATGTTTATGTTCAACATCTATACATTTTTTTAAAAAAATTACAAAAAAGTTTTAATTTAAAGGTGATTTTCGAGATTAACTGACCAATAATTTTGCTATCTGAGTTCAATGTCATAAATGTCAGTTAAATTACAAGTCAACTTTATTAGTTAATTGTAAATGATAAATTATGGTGGTGTAGACTAATAGATTTTGTTCCTTGAATCATTTTTTTAAAATTTATATATAATATTTGATAGATTTTCTTGAATCTTCCATGATTCTGCTGCTAAATACATTACGCAGCAATTCCGAATTTTGTTATTCTCTATTGATTATAATAGAAGGAACTAGGAATTTCCAATTTTCAATTTCTTGTTAGGTAGTAGTAGAATTCTATCTTTTTTGGGGGGAAGTAATTATGATATTATTTCATGGTGGTAAACTGCATAGCCAAACCGTACTAGTTAATATTTTATAAAATTACATTGATTTTATTATATAGATGTGAGAACTCACTTTCTATTCTTATGGTTTTTGTGTTTTGGAGTTTGCTTTTTACCAAGTTATAGATTTCATGTTCGAAAAATTTACTTCCTAGCCTCCTGCTGCACGGCCGATAATTGAGTAGTTAATCCTTCAGATTTCAGCTTTGGACAAATCAATTAAGCCTTTTCACCTAAATGTCTTCAGACTGCAGAGCATGCTTTGTGAACAGAGTATTGTGGTGAAACAATAATGTAATTCACTAGCTGTTTACCATGCCTTTATCAGGTCAGAAATACGTATCATAGGCAGTTACTTGTCCATTCCATTGAAGCATTTTCCACATTGATATGCCGTATACTAGCTGCTGTTTGCTAAGTCAGTTGAAAAATTCACATGGCCCCCATCACAGTGTAATTTGGCTTATCTTTATCAATACATCTAGCTTGTGTGAATATTGAAATAGTCTTTTTAATGGAATTATTTTCTTCTTTCTAATTTAAAAACAGAATTTTTAATTGTTAGTGGAATTAAAAGAATACATTCAGAGTGAAACAATAGCCAATCCATAAGCACAGTTTTTTTTTTTTTTTTTTTTTTTTTTTTTGGCTGGTACATCAGGGAGAAAAATAGAATATAAACTTTGGTTTATGTGAAGGAGATGCAGAATACTTCCCTTACAAGAATTTTTTCTCCATATTATTGGTGTACGGAATTTTTCAGGACCTTGTCATTTCCATAAAAATTTATGCACTAAGAAATAATTATCGGACTGTAATGAAACTTGGCATAGAGGCATGTGTTAGGTAGATATGTAAATGAATAAAAAATACTGTACGACTTCTCATTATATAATGTCACCAGAGAGCACTGAACTTTCATCTTCCTGGTGCATAAAAAAGATATGCAGGAGGCATTTTCATCATCATCAAAGATAATATGATCAGTCACCATCAAAGATAATACATGATTTGGTGATCAACTCGGTGGGTAGCCTACTAGCCTAGACCATTCTGACTTTACTATTAGGAGGTTTTGGGATAAGAGAGCAGATGTAAGCATGACAGCCAGGTTCAAGATGTTGTCAGACCAACAGCCAAAAGGGCTATCACATCACCTGACATGAACACACAGCACCAATTATATCAATGTGTACCTTTCACGTACAGCCAGTACTTTCAGTCTGAATGCCTGTCTGTACCATAGTGTTGTGCCTTGTTGAAGAAATTTGTTATTGTGGTGCCCATTACAAATGCTATCAATGAACCCACTCATCATCACCTCTGAACTGTTGTGCTTGATAGGATAGTGCCACAGCCGAATGGAGCTGATGTACGTGTGAGTAACACGTGCATACGAAAATATCCCTAACATTAACTAGGAAAGCCGAAATCTTAGTTAAGATAGACATGTTACAATTAATAATCAAATTTAATAAGGAAAAGTAACAGTTGCCTGGTACATTATAACGGCTTAAGAAATTCAGAGCACAGTACAGATGCGAGTACACAAGTTCACATATCTCGGCAAAGCAGAGACGCACACATTTGTTGAAGTAGTTCCACTTGACTGCCGGGGAAAATTCTTCTCTCCCCGTCAGCCTGTAGGTTTGCCAAACGGGTTTACTGTTTCGCCAATTGGCGCTTTTCTGTACAGTTTTTAAGTCCGTATCGCCTGTTTGGCGCTGCCGCTGCATACTCCCTCCCGCAGTGTCAACGAAATGTGACATACCGATGCGGGGGTCGGATTAATCGTCCAGAACGGGTGATACAAATTGTCCGAAGTTTTTTTCACACTCTCTTGGAAGCAACTTGAGAAGAGTCCATGGTTACAAAAGCGGGTTTCAGTCTATCTATGGAGATCGTTTGCTTAGTCCCTTTTATTTCGAGATCAAACGTTTTATCTCGTCTTTCTAGCACCTTAAATGGTCCATCATAAGGAGTTTGAAGTGGTTTTCTAACTCCGTCGTGTCGAACAAACACATATGTGGACTTGTGAAGGCGTGGATGAATGAAACATGTTCGCTGGCCGTGGCTAGAAGTCGTGGTCGGGCGGACACTGGCAAAGTGAGATTTTAAATCCTCCACAAACTGTTTGGGGAACGCATCCGGAGGTGTCGGATCGGATTGAAAAATTCTCCTGGGAGACGGATAGTCTTTCCATACACCAGTTCAGAAGTGGTTGCTCCTATGTCCTCTTTGAGAGCGGCGCGGAAACCCATCAGCAGCGTTGGAAGGGCAGCCACCCAGTCACTGGTATCGTGCGCTTTTAAGGCAGCTTTCAAAGGACGGTGGAATTCCTCGATCAGTCCATTCGCCTGTGGGTGGTACGGAGACGTCCTGATCCTCTTGATTCCCAATAATTGGGAAAGGGCTCGAAATAAGCCGCTTTCAAACTGTCGCCCTTGGTCGGTAGTAATAACAGTCGGACAACCAAATCGAGTAATCCAGTGGTCATAGAAAGCCTGTGCTACTGTGCGTGCTGTTATGTCTGGTATGGGTACTGCTTCGGGCCATCTAGTAAATCTATCTATCATAGTTAGACAGTAATAATTATTTTGAGAAGGAGGTAGGGGACCAACAAGGTCAAGGTGGACGTGATCAAACCTCTGTGATTGGTCTGGAAACTTCATTAACGGGGTTCTAGTATGTCTGCTTACTTTTGCTTTCTGGCACGGAATGCACTGCCGTGCCCATTTCGCGCAATCTTTGCGGATGGAAGACCAAAACAAACCGTGAACATACTAACTTTGTTGATGCGCGAATGCCGGGGGTGAGACAAATTGTGCAAGGTGGCAAAAACTTTCTCACGGAATGCCGGAGGAATGTAAGGGCGGGCGTTACCTGTTGAC